CTGGCAGATGATATGGAGCTTGATTTTGATGATGACAACGTACCAGTATGGCGCTCCATTGTCAACAAGTATAGAGAAGGTGATCAGGTGCTACAGAGAGAAGCAGTGAAGATTACTCATCTTTTCAAGGACAAAAAGGACAATGAGAAGGCAACAGAAGTTTTCAGTTCAGAGAGGACAGATTTTCATGAGACCTCAGAACCTCTTCCAAGGACTATAGGAGAAAATCTTGTTGAGGACTTGCTCACCAAGGATGTTCCTCCTTATACAAGAGTCTCCACTATCGCTGGTGGAATCTGCACTGGTAGTATGATGTTGACGAAAGATGAACATATGGAAGAGGAAGCCCCTGAAGAAGATCCTGCAGTTGAACCTGAGAAAGATGAAGAAATGTTTGATGAGAATGCAGGTGCTTTTCCTTCAGAGGGACCAAAGATGGAAGTTGACCAGGAGGAAGCCAAGGAGGAGTCAACACCATACTTTCTGTCAAGAGAGATAGGTGAGGACTCAGCTGCATCGTACTTAACGTCAGGTGAGAAGGATGCTAACCTTGAGGATACTTCAGGTCAGCGGAAATCTAAGAGAAGCCGCCTGAATAAGATTCCTGATCCTCATTTTCATGAAGAAGTTCAGGATGATGCAACTCTTGAGGAGAAGAAGAAGGCGGTGAAGAAGATAAAAGAGGTCAGAGAGGATGATGGAGAGAAGAAACTGGAGGCTGAAATCCAAGAATCTTTTCCATCTGAAGTAGTTGTTGATAAGGATCCTGTGGATGCTGACAACACCTACGAATTGCATACCTCACCTTTGAGGTTGCTTGGAGAGATTACCAATGATCCAGGTATTGGCTTTTATCAACTATGCTTCAGGGAAACTCACGCAAGATTGCTGAACCATGTTTGTTTCAGAAAAGGTGAGATTTCCCATCCTCATTATCAGTCGAGGATCAACGAGGATGATTTTGTTCGATCCATTCGAAAAGTCTGTCCAGTACCTCCACCTGATTGTTATGAACACGACTCAGAGCATGATTTGAAGAGGTTTTTCATCAATGATGACCGCATCAGTTATTTGGATGGCAAGTATCAGGTCGATCCAAAGGCCTTTGAAAGGGCAGAGCATGCTCGAGAAGAATTGGAGGATACGAAGAAGGAACTTAAGAAGGAACTGGAATCATATGGTCCCAATGGACCCAGTTGGGACTTTGTCACCTTCTATGAAGAGCTGTGCAGAAGGTTCCTCAAGGGAAGAATAGAAGAACAATATGGAACCAACTTATCGGCCAGCTCAGAGTCCTTGACGTTTTTATCCTGGAACTATGGCAACATGGTTCGTGGTCAGAGGTACACCACACCAAGGTTTCTCCAAGGACTTGATAGTGCAATGAGGCCACGCAAACAGAGCGCCATGTCACTTCAATACGAGCAATTTGAGAACAACCTTTTCTTCAATATGCTCTTCTTTTTACGTGCACATGTCGTGATTCTCCAGGAAGCTCATCTCCTTGTTCCTGCCAAGGAATTCATTGAGCAAAAGAATTGGACAGTTTGTTTCAATGATTGGGAGAATCTTGCAGTGATGGCTAGATTGGCACCAGGTGGATATGTCAAGATCATTGCTGGACATGACCAAGACCTTGGTCATTGTGAACAGCGTGATGTAACTTGGGCTATCTACGAGATTTGTTTTGGAAAAACAAGGCCTCGTCAAGAATTCAAGGATGCAGACTTTGAATTTGATGACTATGGTCCTGAGGACCAGCGTGTTCCACTTACTAGAGCGAACATGCATACCATCAGAGTCTGTAATTATCATGTTGATACACACCGTGCTGTGGATGCCCACCTACTGACAGGAGAACAGACAGCATTGATGCTTTATGAGTGTTTTGTCTATGAGGTGGACATCATTTCTGGTGATGCAAATAGCTTAGCCTACAGAATGTCTGGGTACAAAAGGCAGCCAATGGCTAACTATTATTATAGCACCATGCAGCATTGGTTCCGCAGGTTTTCAGAAGCCCGTGTAAAAGCAGATCCTGGTATCAAAGCACCTATTCCCAGAACATTTTACAGTTCATCTTCACAGGTCCTCAAGCAGTGTGAAGTTTACTTTGACAAACTCTGGGAAGAATATTCTACTGTTGAAAAAGAAGAATACCAGGGATCACAGCTTGGAGATACATGTTTGTCTACCATTGTTGAATGGGGTCATTCGATGAGTGAAGAGGAATATGAAAATTCCACAGTGAGCACGAAGGAGTTCATCTGTAATTTTTCAGAGAACTTTGCTATGATTGACACGGAGGTTATGTGCTCAAGGCCCACTGACGAGGACAGTCATGGTCCAATGTTTATTTCACTCAGACCAGCTTCCTCTTCATCTGGAGACAGAAGACAGTATCGCATGGGAGCAACTCTTCATGAGGCGAAACTGCGGAGGAAGGAGAGACAGAAGGAGAATAAAAGGAAAGGAAGGCCGCAAACTTCTGATCAAGCAGCTCCATCGACTGCAGCGGCATGAAACTCAGAGCGGAAGCTAACTTTTAATGATAGCTAGGAAGTGAAGATACTTCTGATCACAGTTGATACTTTGCTTCCAGGCTTGAATTTAAGTTGCCAGGCTGAAGTTTTAATGAATTCTGGTTTGCAACGAGGAGAAACTTTTTGTCAAAGAAGATACTCCTGCATTCCAGGTTTATACGCTTTAGCATGCAGATAAATACAGTTTACTAAACGGTTATTATCTGCAGGTAGGTATGGACAGTTTTTCAGAACTGATGATAACTACCACAGCCGCTCTTTTGAGGTGACCTCTAATGGACAACCATTCATGGTTGATGATTAAGTCATTTCATAAGTTTGCATTTGTAGTGCAAGTTTTGTACATACATTTGCCGGTGTCTCCTTCCTTGTGTTTTTGATGTCGATGAGAAAGAGTCCTTTTGATGCAGTTCCATTTTTATTTAAGTCCTGTGTGTGGAAGCGGCCGAGACCACTTTTGGAGAAGAACATTCCTCGAGAGTTGACGCTCCTTGCATTTTGCAAGGCATCTTAATTCGTTGCAATTTGTGCGGTCTTGAATTTTTAGTTCTTTGTTACGCGAGTGTCGTTTACTGCTTTTACAGGTCTCTGTGTAAGAAAGCCGCTTTCCCTTGAATTTAAGTTTCTTTGAAGCTCTGGCTATTTAAGGGCTATTGAGCGCCGGTACATGGTATCTTCGCCGGTGAACAATGCAGTCTCCAGCCGAGATACATTGTCTTTGACTTTGTATTTGAGGTGAGTCAGCTATTGCTCCCTCACTGTATTTAGTATACCTAGAGATTACCTTTTCTAAAGTGTGAAATACACTGGAATTGGTAAGTACAGGGCACCGTGGTTTCCTTTTAAGCTTACTAGAGCTTGCTGGATTGTTTTAGCCTTACGGTAGAAAAATAGTGTGCGACATACGCAATAGGCAGGAGTGGACATGAATTTTGTGCCTGCTGAAATGTAGAGCCTACTTGTACAGGTTCCACTCCAGTGGCCTATCTAGTGTGTCCATACTTGACTGCCATAAGGCTCAAGACGCTAAGAGGTATAGGATAAGACTCTGCGTGAGCAAAAGACACTAGCGGTCTGCACCTCAAAAAGCACGCCCTAGTCACTCTTTCACCCCCCCACCCCCCCCACCCCCGCCATGCGCCCCGTGTTTTCACGAAGCACGACCAAAAAATAGCACACCTCTCACGACGCCCTCGTGGGACCCATACCAAAAAGAACATAATTGATACATTGTCAATAGTGCGTAGAGAGTGTTCAGCTGACTGGACCATACCATAGAGCCTTTTCCTTCCACGATTGGCCGTCGGTCTAACAAACAAGGGCCCCCTTAAACCTAAAAGGCCTGTAGCCAAAGCAAAACGACTTGCTCGCCATTGCGCCAAGCAGATGAACGACTCCTTTTGTTTCACCGCGCCAGGTCGTTGCAGTGACAGCTGCTGGCGATTGCGTGATTTCGGTGATTGCAACCAGTCACCACACACCCTCATTTGGTTTTAGGTATGCAACTTGCTGCATCATGCCGATTGAATAAAAAAGCGCAGGAGTTCCACGTTGTTTTAGAAGGGAGAGATGTGTTGTCTCCGCAATTGTGGTTGTGCTACCGCATGGTGGGCATGATTGTTTGTTGTTGCACATAGTCTTGGATCATATGTTACTTCCCCGCCAGCAAACAATATCAAACAGTCATAAACAATTGGAAAATCTCTATAGTGTAAGGCTCCAAAAAACAATTTACCATGTTTGAGTAGCGGTCCTTGTTGTCGTCGTCGTAGTGGTTTTTAGTAGCAGCAGTAGTAGTAGTAGTAAGTAGCCGTAGTGGTACTGTAGCTGTAGTGGTAGTCGTAGTAGTAGCAACAGCAGCGGCAGATGTAGATGTAGATGTAACATGTAGATGTAGATGGTGGTAAGTATATATCCAGCAAGAATACCTTTAGAGAATATGTTTTATTGGTTTGACCCCCAAAAGGACTCAGGGGTGGACAATGGTTTGTATATATAGAGTGCATTTGTTTGTCAAGTGCTTGTTTCAACTTCCAACCCACTCACCTTTTAGTCAGCATGAACATGAGACATTACAGCACTCTTATATATATATATATAGCCCGGATTCTATAGTGAAATTGATCGCGCAGGCCCGATCCAGAACTGTCAGTTCAGCATGGGCGATGGCCGATTGATGTGTCGGCACCGTTCTGGGCTGCCGTTCTGTGGGCTCGACCCATCAACAGGACCTCATGAAGGCCCATCCAAGAAGGATGCAGACAACTGATAGTTTTTAGGCAAAAAAAACATGTGTGTGTTTGAGAGGTTGCGAGCCTCACAATGCTTCACTGAATCGAACTTTGATTCCACATGTTTCCTGCACTTGATGAGGGCTGAACCCCGAAGAACTTTGACCCATAATTGAACCCACCGCAAAAACTACTGTCAACCACACTGAATCACTCTTTAGTTTTGGACTCATAGGACTTGGGTTTTGCTCCGGACATGGCTTAGTCTGTGCGTCCTCCTGCAGCTGACAGCGTGATGGTGGAAGTGGGGCCACAGCCAGAAGAGGCACTGAGTGAGGGTGTAGGATCTATGCGGTTTATGAACAGAGAGACCGTCGAAGAACGTCCTTGACAGAGGAAGTCATTGCGTTTTGTTTGCAGCAGAGATTGCTGTTGGCAGGATGTATTGACGCTCTGATGCTGCTTAAGAAGTCCATCAAAATTCACAAGATATTGCCAGCAATTACTTGTACTGATGTGATCTTCCATGCTTTTGACCTTTGAATATCCTGTCCTGTTTCAACTCTAACTGGGCCGTGCCCCTAGGCCTTCCGGCGCTGCGGCACCCTTGCGCTTCAGAAGCGCCTGGGTTCTGGCGATCTCAACTTCCCCCGGCGGCCCAATGGATCCTTGACTCGCATTGGAGCCTTCAGGGCATGGGAAGGGCATTCCCCGGAGGGATATATGCATAGTTGACCAATGGCGCTGTGAAGTGAGGACACAGTTCTCTTGAGGGAAACCTGATGTTGGGGCGCTTGCAGGGTTTGGTCCAGATCCTATCCTGCAGGAAAACTGCAAGTTGACACGTTTCTTTGAGTCATGTCCACTAATGTGATTTGGAGGAGCACCATGTCGGCCGTGGAATCATCATGCCCTCCGGAGCGGAGGCACGGCATTGATGCTGAAGCAGAGCCTCTTCGAGCGTCTCCTCGCTGGGAAGCGCGGTCCTGCAAACTTTTGATGGATCAAGTCTTCCCAGGATGGATCAATAGTGAGCCCCAAACCAACCTAGATATATATACATAATACATTTTGTATATTTTAATTATGTATGTATTGAGGGAGAAGTTCCTGATAGAACATCAGAGTCCCTCACGTACGATATACTTGGATTTGGATGTGTTGTCACCCTCAAATTGCTTATGTTTATCTCAAGTTGACTGTGTTCGATATGCTAGTATGCTTATGGATCCTATCATTTTCGATTCTAATCCAGTGATCTGGTTCAATTCCACAGTTCACACATCCGTGTGGCAAAAAGGCCCAGAGAAGTGCATCGCTGCTAGTAGCAAAAAGCTACTAGTAGCTCCTGTACTACTAGTAACAAGAAGCTACTAGTAACAAGTGCATCACTACTAGTAACAATGGCATTACTACTAGTAGCTAGAAGCTACTAGTAACAAGTGCATCGCTACGTTCGTAGCTTCTTAAGTGTGTGCATTTGCTCGGTGTCCTCGACCCGCCTGCCAGCCTGCCAGGACGCCCCTCTCAAGCATTCCTGCGTCAGATGTCTCTGCGGCCCAGGCACAGGGTGGTTCGACTAGGCTTCGGAGATTGGTGGAGGGGAGTTCAAGAAATTTCCCTCACAATTCACAATCTGTTGATATTTGTTGTTTGGTTTACTCATCCAACCCAGCATGGCCCCAAATTGGCTAAGGAAACTCAATGGTTAAACCCAGGAGCTTTTGGGAAAATGTAAGACCTTCTTTCAGAGCACCTACTATTACACATTTATCATGGAGAGATAGACCAGACAGACAGACAGACAGACAGACCAACCGACAGACAGACCGACAGACAGACAAACAGATAGATAGATAGATTGATAGATACATAGAGAAAGAGCGAGAGAAAAACAAGTAAGCCAGAGCTTTGTGTTTTGGAGCGTGATGTGTCCCCATGCAATGTAATTAGTCCAACTGAGTCTATGCCATTTACTTTGAGTTTGGTCACCAGAGTTCTTTTACCCCAGAGTTGGTCCTCGGACGGTTTTCCAACCGCCCAGTGACCACTTGGAACCCCATTCACCTGGAGGTGACATCCCGAATACTGCGCTTTCGTCTCCTCATGATTGAGGACTAGTCTAAGACTAGTCATCTTTTCAATCTCGTGAAGAAAGGAACACACACACAGACTTATGGATATGCGTACTGACTTGACAGCGGTGCCACACGCCAGCCCAGGTTAGTTAAAAGGCCTGAGGTGTCAGGAAATAGTAGGTTAAAGGCCATCGGTTTTGGGTTGGAGGTCAACGCAAGGCTGTTGGGGGCCAAGACCTAAGGTTGGAGGCCATCGCCAGAAGGCGGTGGACCATAGACACAAAGTGACAGCAAAAGCAAAGTTGGAGGTCATCGCTAGTAGGTTGGAGGCCAGGGTACCAAGTTGGAGGCCAGCGCTACCAGGTTACAAAAGCACAAGAAAAAACACAAGACAGTCAAAGTTGGAGGTCCTTGCTAGTGGGTGGAGGCCAGGGTACCAAGTTGGAGGCCAGCGCTACCAGGTTACAAGAAGCACAAAAGCACAAGAAGCACAAGACAGCAAGTTGGGGGCCAATCTAGTGGGTGGAGGCCAAAGTTCAGGTTAGAGAACCCCTTACAAAGTTTGGAGGCCTACCTGCAAACCTGTAGAGTAGTCTAGAGGAAAACAGAAGGAAAGGCACCGACACACAAGTGTGTCGAGTACCATTTCCTCCTGTTTTCCTAAATAGTGGAACAGGTACAGGTGGATGATCAGTCCACCCATCCCTCGTCATACCGTAGCTTCATTGCGCACGGTGGGTATGACGAGCCGTACGCCCCTGTTCCAAACCTAACGGTTCCCTTTGAATCCAAGGGTTACACACACACGCCTCCCCGAAGGGAGGCATGTGTGGCCTCCATCCTGCCCGGAAAGGAGGCAAGGCACATGTGCGCGCAAAGGGACAGATGAAAATGAAAAGGACGAGACAGACAAAGGTGTGTGTGGTTGCCGATGAAGAAGAACCAAGTGAAGAGGGACAACCGATGAACCAAACCTCATTGTAACGAACCTGGGCCACCTGAACCTCGTTGTAGAGTACGCGTGCGTGTATGTGTACAAACTAAGGTCCGGACGATAGTGCGCGCAAGAGAAAGAAAGGATGAGGATGAAGAGACATGAAGACAAAAGGACATGAAAGAAAAGAAGGGAAGACGTCTGTGGGGGCCGATGAAAGGGGAACCAAATGAAAGGGGACAAACCGATGACAGTCCAAACCTCATTGAGAAACCTGTTGCAGAAGCCTAGTTTGCTTGTAAATACGCCGCGCGCGGGGGGAGGAAGAAAAGAGAGGGAAAGAAAGAAGGAAACAGAGGTGCTCCCAGCTACGACACAAGCGTCCAAGGACACACCAAAAAGGAAGGGCTCCCAGCTATGACGAAAGCATCCAGGGACACCCAAGGAAGAGGGTGAAGAGAGGAAAGAGAGAAGGAAAGAAAGAGAGAGGGAGAGAAAGGGAGAGGAGAGAAAGGAAGGTGTCCCCAGCTACGAACAATCGTCCAGGGACACACCAAAGAAAGAAAGGGGTGATCCTGAGTATTCCGGAAAACCCCAGAAAGCAAAGAAAGAGAGGGGGAGGGAAGGGGGAGGAGGGGGGACTAAGCTCGCGACAGGTTCCAATGAACCTTGAACAAACTTCGGCCGCTGCGGCCACGTACGCCGTGCCAAAGTGGCTGGCTGCTTTGACCGCTGCGGTCACGTAAAGGCATAAGCCAACTTGGAATTCCAAAGATGAGACGAAAATCTGAGTTCTCTCGGCCTAGGCCACCTTCGCCCGCTGTGGGCACTTACGTTTCCAAAGCAAGGGAAACAACGACAGACACCCGTTCGACGGGTCCACGGAAGGCACTCTACGGGCTCATCCCGGACTGGCGCGAGGCCAGACGCACTTATGGATATGCGTACTGACTTGACAGCGGTGCCACACGCCAGCCCAGGTTAGTTAAAAGGCCTGAGGTGTCAGGAAATAGTAGGTTAAAGGCCATCGGTTTTGGGTTGGAGGTCAACGCAAGGCTGTTGGGGGCCAAGACCTAAGGTTGGAGGCCATCGCTAGTAGGCGGTGGACCATAGACACAAAGTGACAGCAAAAGCAAAGTTGGAGGTCATCGCTAGTAGGTTGGAGGCCAGGGTACCAAGTTGGAGGCCAGCGCTACCAGGTTAAAAAAGCACAAAGTGCCAGCAAAAGCAAAGTTGGAGGTCATCGCTAGTGGGTGGAGGCCAGGGTACCAAGTTGGAGGCCAGCGCTACCAGGTTACAAAAGCACAAGAAAAAACACAAGACAGTCAAAGTTGGAGGTCCTTGCTAGTGGGTGGAGGCCAGGGTACCAAGTTGGAGGGCAGTGCTACAAGGTTACAAGAAGCACAAAAGCACAAGAAGCACAAGACAGCAAGTTGGGGGCCAATCTAGTGGGTGGAGGCCAAAGTTCAGGTTAAAGAACCCCTTACAAAGTTTGGAGGCCTACCTGCAAACCTGTAGAGTAGTCTAGAGGAAAAAGAAGGAAAGGCACCGACGCACAAGTGTGTCGAGTACCATTTCCTCCTGTTTTCCTAAATAGTGGAACAGGTACAGGTGGATGATCAGTCCACCCATCCCTCGTCATACCGTAGCTTCATTGCGTGCGGTGGGTATGACGAGCCGTACGCCCCTGTTCCAAACCTAAAGGTTCCCTTTGATTCCAACGGTTACACACACACAGCTTTTGGGTGCCCCCAACCCCCCCCGTTTGTCCGTGGATTCCACGGTTTTTGGTGCCTTTCCTGAGTCATTCTGAGTCGGTTGACGCATCACGTCGCCGCTGCATCACGTCTCAGATGGGATGCGAACACTTCAAACCGGGATGGGTCTCAGGCGAGGTGGAAAACCAACTATAGGTGTTCCTCCGTCGCCAGCGCGGAGGGCGACGGCAGCTTCAGCTCTGAAGAAAGCCTGTACACCGTGCTGTCACCGTGATCTTCCCTCCACGGCAGGGAGATCTGCGGCACTTGAGCCTGGAGCAGCTTTTGACGCTCCTCTCCACGCAAGGCCGGGGTTTTCCTCATTGGAGGCAACGTTTTTTTTCTGCTGTGGGACCAGTGGTTTTTGGGATACACATGAGAAGGCCATGCAGTAGTTCTGAAGGTTTGGCATGTCCAAGATTCCAAGATAGACATTTGTAGAATGTTGTAGACATGATTTTCCATATGCTGCATGAATTAATATCATTGATTGACTTGTTTGTTTGTCCACGTGGCTCTTGGCTTCGATGATTAATGTCGTACATCCAATAAGATGTATATAATTTTTGACAGTGAAGTGGGTCCATTTGCGCATCATGCGCCCTTTCTTTGTTTGCTTGGGATCATGCAGTGCGGTCAGGCGACGCGCCCACCGGTCCCTCCTCCGGTTCCCATGGGAGCTTTTGGAACGCCACGGAGACCGGTGATCGGTGGCCGGTCCGCGTGACGACCGTGTCAGCGACGGGGTCATGTTCTGAGAGTCACATGTTGGATCTACCCGAAATATTCAGTCATCAAACCATATTTCATGTATGTGAGTGGAGTCCAGCTGTTGTTGTTTTCACTTTGCGTTGTTTTGGCCATGTGTATAGCAATTTAATAGTATATTTGGTTGTCGATCTAAAGGTCCTACACAGGATTGTTGATGACGATGACCCGGAACATATCAAAATCTCATTTGGCGAAAGTTTTTTCTCGAGTTGGCGAAAGTATTGTGTTTTTTGGCGAAAGATATGGCTAAAGATGTTCTTTCTGCTGCTGTTGCTACTACTACTACTACTACTACTCCTACTCCTACACTCCTGCTGCTGCTACTACTAAACCTGCTGCTGCAGCTACTACTACCACTACTACTAGTACTACTGCTACTACTACTACTCCTCCTACTACTCCTACACTCCTGCTGCTGCTACTACTACTACTCCTGCTGCTGCAGCTACTACCACTACCACTACTACTACTAACTACTAACTACTAACTACTAACTACTACCTACTACCTACTACCTACTACTAACTACTACTAACTACTACTAACTACTACTAACTACTACTAACTACTACTACTACTACCACTACTACCACTACTACCACTACTACCACTACTACCAC